ACTTAAGTTCCAATTCGTGAAAGCGAGCGTGGGTTCGAAACCCACTCTAGCCATATTTTTTTAATAATATCTATCAACTTGGTCCAATTACAATAGTAAATCACCGTAGTTTTTGACCAGCTGCTACTTATACTTGAACAATTTCCATCTTAATGATCAACGATATTAATCGAGATTAAAAGGGATTTAGAAGACATTGTATTTTAGAAATGGTGAGAGCTGGGTTACATAAAAAGAACTGAATTTTTTGAATTTTGCTGGTCGTTTGGCCGAGTCGTTAAGGCGTTAGTTTCAGGTACTAATCTCGCAAGAGGCGTGGGTTCAAATCCCACAGCGACCACTTTTTTACATACGACATTTTCATTATCAACTGCCAGTACAAATTATCTTATTCAATGTCCAATGATTCTCAAAATTGTCCCATAACTGAGTTAATAATATTCGTCAACCAACCTAGAACGAATACAACAATATCAATTAATTTGTTTGTAAAAAGTTGGCTTGTCTTGTTGATGCTTCCAGAATGATCCAATGGTACTTGAAATTTCAAACAAAAACTTTTTCCAATGGAATTGGCATTCAAGAAATCGTCGAAAAAGAAAGTCTTTCGAAAGCGAGCAGCTTTGGACGACGAGCAGGAAGAAGATTCAAAAGTTGTATCAGCGTCACAATTAAAGAAACGAAAGTCAGGAAAGACACCAGAAGATCGAGAGGATATCCACATTGATGAAAATATGACCGCACTTGGAGTAGCCTTCAAGGCTTCTGGAACCGCTATGGAACTAGGAAATGATTCAGCTACCAGAACACTTGATATTGATGGTGCAGAAGATATCATTGCAGGGGATCAGGCCGAAAAACTAGATAATTTGTATACAGGAAAAGATAATTACAAGGAATACATCAACAAAAAGAAGGAAAAAATAACTCAAAAGAATGCTGGTGGAATCAGAGCTGGTCCGTTGAAAGGACAAACAAATGTGAGAATATCTTGTCGGTTTGATTACGCTCCAGCGATATGTAAAGATTATAAGGAAACTGGTTATTGTGGGTTCGGTGATGGCTGTGTGTTTATGCACGATAGAGGCGATTACAAAATGGGCTGGGAACTTGACAAGGAATGGGAAGAGGTAAATATTGCTAATGTAGATGCAGAGAAAAAAAGCTGAAGAAAACGATCCCAACCGCTTCTTTGTTGAAGTAGAAAATGAAGTAGAAAGTGATGATGATCTGCCATTTGCTTGTCTGATATGTAGAGGCGATTTCAAATCGCCTGTTGTCACCAAATGTAAACATTATTTTTGCGAAGCCTGCGCAATCAAGCAATTCAAGAAGACGCCTGGATGCTATGCGTGTAATCAAAACACTCAGGGTGTGTTCAACGTCGCCAAAGAGCTAGTTAGCAAACTTGATGCCAAGAAGAAGCGCATGAAGGAAAAGGAACTTGAAATCCAAAAGCAAATGCAAGAAGAAGAATAATTAGTTTATATATTAATAAATCATAAATTTCTATCCCTCCATTCCTTGTTTTCCTTCCAAGTCGAGCCATCGGTGTATACTTCCAATTTCCAAATCGGAACTAGTTTTTTGACTTTATCCATTATCCAGCCAACCGCATCTATAGCATCTTTCCTATGCGGAGAAGCAGTCACAACCAAGATTGATTCTTGGGCAAGACCAACTATTCCCAGGCGATGGATAATTGCTACGCCATCTAAATCGGTATACTGTGCTTTCGCTTCTTTTGCAATGTCACTCATTACTTTTATAGCCATTGGTTCGTAGCCTTCATAGGACAAATATTGAACTTGTTTGGTAACTCCGCTCTCATCAGTAAATGTTGACCTTGTAGTTCCCAGAAACGAAACAATCGCACCGACGCTATGGTTGCTAAACTCTTTAATCGTATCCTGAATGGGAATTTCATTTCTGGTAATTTCAATTTTCGTCTTCATTTTTTCTTTTTTTTGCAGAATGAATAATATCGAGGTCGCAATTTCATGTTCAAACAAGGAAAATGTCATTCACTGCTGGGATATACGGACAGGAGTGTTGATTGCATCGTACAAGGCAAATCTCAGTAGCTGCGTTGCGATTAGAAAGTCGTATTGGCTTCGAGCTGGATTGTTTTTGACACCACAGTTGGACAAGAGTACAGTTAACGTCTATCAATTTTCTAAATCGCCCTCACTATTCAAATTTATTGTTCCTGAAAAACTAACTGCAATGGAAATTTCAAATTCAGGAGAGTTTTGCATTGGCGGTGGAGAATCTGGACGGATATATATTTGGGAGGTATACCATGCTAATATAGATTGAAACTGGACGCATGATTCGAATGTTTGATGCTCACTACAAAGCGGTTAGCTGTATAAAGTTTACAGTGGATGATATGAGATTGATAACTGGAGGAAAGGACTCTCAAGTGCTTGTTTGGTCATTTAATAATTTATTGGATTTAACTCTTCCACAGGATAGTATACCTACCAGTATTAGTTTATCTGGGCATTCTTTACCTATCACAGGGCTATCTATTTCACTATTACCTTACAATCATGCCAGAGTATATTCATGTTCGATGGACAAGTCTTGCAAAATATGGGAAATCACTGGAGAAAATATTGGGACAGTCATGTTTCCGCGTTCTTTAACTGCAATAGCCGTTAACGCAACCGAGACATCAGTATATTGTGGGGCTGTAGACGGTACAATTTACCAATCGAATTTGTACAGTGAAAAAAGGGCGAGTGACTATAGCACAGTAACTGATGTGCAAGACTTTGATTTACACAAATTTGAGAAACACACGTAATTCGATATTAATTTAGGGATATTGTTCACCAATTAGCCTTCTCAATGGACGAGTCATTGCTAGTTAGCGCTTCTGAAGACGGTACTTGTCAAGTATGGGATGTAGCTAGTCGTCAAAGTGTTAAAACCTTTTCAAAGAAAAGCCCAATTACCACATGCACGGTAATTCTTCAACCGCCAGAATTGATAGAGCAAGAACTAGCACCAAAAGATTTAAAAATATCACAATTCTCTAGATTTCCTAATGCAGATTTGGAAATGTCGCATACAGTGCAGATAAAGAAAGAATCTGCTGATACTCTCGAAAAAGTTGCACAAGATTATTTTGCGCCTATTGAATTGCATAACAACGAGGATGAAGTTGCTGATCTAAAAGCGCAAATTGCAATGCTTACTAATCACAATTCACAACTGCGAAAATTAAATGATGAGTTGTATTCCAGCGTGTTGAAGTCTTTAAAATAAATAGATTTCCAAGTTTGCGTGTTTTCTATCCGATTGGCTTGCGGATCTAGCTTTTGCTGCTTCTGTTCAAGAACTGTGCTGGGTATACAAGGAGCACATTAATATGCTAGATCTTATAAGATTCGATTTTCATACAGTTTATGGAAACGCTTCTTTTCAAGCACTTGGTCAACCTCATCTGGTTTTCCCATTCTGTTTGAAAATGCTGTGTTTAATGAGAATTTTTCAACTGTTTTATTCTTCAATAGTGTTTATAAACACCTCATGTTCTTCTACTTTTTGGTTTCCAACTTTCCATTTGAATGACAGGGATATGCAAGTCTTCCGCAATAATTGTCAATTCCGGATTATCAGTCACCATGGCAAACTCGCCGGATATTCGCTCGTCCGATTTACTTTTAAAATAGTGGGAGCATTGTAGTATGCTCAAGTAAGCCCGAGGAATGAACACAGTCCCATTGCCAATATCATTCATTGGAGTTTGCTCCTCTGGATTCTGTCCAATTAAATTTATAGAAGGATAACGCAGCCGCTGATCAAGATACCTAATAGCATCTCTAGCACAGATATTAATCCTCTCTTCTCCATTCTTCAAGGTATCCAAACTCTGTAACACTATCATTAATATCAATTACCATCATATGGTACTATAATTATACACGATTTAGACATTAACCAGGACTTTACTGTATTCAAAATATTTAGGAAGCAATTCAAATCCAGCACATACACTGGTAAATCCAAATTTGAAAAATTACCTTGCTGAATTTCCAAGGTTTTAACTTCATCTTTCAGCTTTTCGGTCGCCAACGCTTTCATCATTTTCTGTAACTCTTTGCGTTTGGTGGAATTATCCCTAACTATATATTGTCCTTCTTGTGAATTGAAAATGATAAAGTTGAATTTCTAAGTTAGGATGGTGTACTTCATCTTCACTCAATCTTTTTATGAATCCAGACATACGAGAAAATATTGTTATTGCGCTATCGGTGTTGGAAGATAATATTTTTGAATTACTATTGTAGTAGTCTTTAAAAGCCGAAAGAGATATTAATAGGGCATCAGCACTAATAATTTCATTACCCCCGTCCATATCGGCAAAAGATGACACTTTGTTTACAATAGGCACAATGGAATTAGCCCATTCATGCAATTTCTAAATTAAATGCCAAGTACATTTTCAAATTCTTTTGGCCTGAGCATTGCCCCATACGAAATAAATGAATTGATTATTCGAACATAGTTGGAGAGCCAGGTCACCAATACGCTTATTGGAAGCAGGTGCTCAATGACCGTATCAGCCAAATCTTCGATTGTATCCCCGTTTTCTAGTTGGGAATTTACATATATTGCACATTCTTTTGTAATCGAGAGTAGAAGAGAGAATGCGAGTACTTGATAGTGTCTAAGCAGCTGCTTTTCAATAGATTGGTCTAATTAGTAAAGCGTTACTGCTAGATTCAAAAAGCATTTCACAGTCATGAACAAAAATCACAAAACTTGTCACTAACTTTAACACTTTCGTTAAATCTTGAAATTGAATCTGCTTTAAATTTCCTTCCAAATTGGTCAGATATTCGAGCAAGAATTCAGTACCAACGGTGTTGAATTTGAAAAGGAACCCAAAAAATGTAATCGAGGAATCAATAAAGTAGGCAAAGTTGCTAGATTAATTTCATCTTACTCATTACTAACAGGTACAGAAGGGTTGGACGTGTATTTTAAAAGAAAGTGATCGAGGTTATTTCGTTGAACCGGACTTGTTTCAGAATTTCCAATGCTCAAACAATTGTAGTAAAGCACATCAATGTCATTCATCTTATAGACAGAGAGAAGAGCCAGCTGCGCATGGGGTTTCCCGCCTGTTGGGTATAGCTCGTAGGCTTTTTCATACCAGTTCCAGGACTCTGTCCAGTTTTTAATAGGAGTGATATACGCAGTTCTATATCGGGCTATATTAATCCTTCTATACCAACGTCCCCGAGGTATATCAGGGATTTGTACGCAATCATTAAGCCAGGATCGTTGGATACATTCTTTACATCTTTATCAAACGTCAAATCC